TTGATTTGGTGATGGTGGCAAAATTATGTGTTGGGTGCTAGCCCTTTTTCCTTTTGGCTGTTTGTAAAGTGGGGTTATCTATTGCCTATATTTTTCTGGTTGTAGTTAACTTCCTTGGGTTGTAGTTTTCCTTCCAGAACTTTCTGTAGGGATGGATTGGTGGATATGTATTGTTTGAATCTGGAGTTTTGTCATGGAATATCTTGTTTTCTCCATCTATAATGATTTAAAGCTTTGCTGGGTATAGTAGTCTGGGCTGGCATCCATGGTCTCTTAGAGTAGGTAGAATATCTATCCAGGACCTTCTGGCTTTCAGAGTTTCCATGGAAAAGACGGGTGTGATTCTGATAGGTTTGCCTTTATAGGTTACTTGACCTTTTTCCTTTGCTGTTCTTAATATTTTCTCTTTATTGTGTATGTTTGGTGTTTTGATTATTATGTGGAGAGGAGACCTTTTTTGATTCAGTCTATTTGGTGTTCTGTAGGCTTCTTGTATTTTCATTGGCATGTCTTTCTTTAGGTTGGGAAAGTTTTCTTCTATGATTTTGTTGAATAGGTTTTCAGTGCCTTTGAGTTGGATTTCTTCACCTTCTTCTATATCTATTATTCTTAGGTTTGGTCTTTTCACGGTATCTCATATTTCCTGGATATTTTGTGTTAGGGATTTGTTGGACTTAAGATTTTTCTTTGGTTGATGAATCTATTTCCGCTAGTGTGTCTTCAACTCCTGAGAATCTTTCTTCCATCTCTTGTATTCTGTTGGTTATGCTTACATCTGTAGTTCCTGATAGTTTACCCAGCTTTTCTATTTCCAGCATTCCCTTAGATTGTGCTTTCTTTATTGTCTCTATTTCAGTTTTTAGGTCTTGAACTGTTTCCTTGAGAGATTTGTTGATATCTTGTATTTTGTGGTTTGTTTTTTCTTCCATTTCTTTAAGGGATTTTCTCATGTCCTCTTTGAAGTCCTCTTTGAGGTCCTCTATCATTTTCCTGAAGATGTTTTTAAGGTCATTCTCTTCTGGTTCATCTGCATTTTGATGTTCAGGTCTTGCTGGTGTATGGTTCCTCGTCTCCGGTGGTTTCATATTTGGTTTTCTGTTGTTGAATGTGCTTTTACCTTCTCTTCTCATCCTTTCTTCTGGTGGGTGTAGCAGGAGTCTCTTCCTCTCCTGGTGAGTATGGGACCAAGGTTCCCTTCTGGTAGACGCAAACAGATCCAATACTCTAATGTCTGACCTCTTCTCGTGGATGGAGGTGGCACTGTTACTGGGGCCTTGGCAGTGTTCGGGTGTGTTGGGTTTTGATGGGCCAATGGATGGCATTGCAACTACCACAGGGGCCTCGGGAGTATCTGGTGTGTCGGAATCCCACCGCCTAGTTCAGATACAGCAAGCAGGTTCCTGGCGTCAGATGGCTCTGAGCAGTGCAGCTGAACAGGAACTGGAAACATCCCCTGGCCTACCTGGGCCAGCGGATGCATGCAGAACTGCCACTGGGGCCTCGGTGTGTGGGAACCTGCCACTGAGTTCAGATCCGGTGAGCAGGTCCCTGGCGTCAGATGACTCTGAGCAGTGCCACCAAAACTGCATTTTAATTTTTCGAAATTAAAATATAATTACATATTTCTCTTCTTTCCTCTCTCCATCCTTTGCTCCCTCTCCATGGCCTTTTCCTTCAAATGCTATTGTGACATATATGTATATGTCACACACACACACACACACACACACACACACACACACACACACACACACACACACACATTTAAATACAGCTTGTTGTGTCCAGTTTAGTGTTACTTGTATGTATATAATTTCAGGGCTGACCAGGAGGTATCAGATAACCAATTAGGAGACTCATTATTAGGGAAGACTATTTTTCCAACTCTCAACATTCCTCAGTTGTCTGTAGTTCTTTGTCTAGGGGTCGACTCTGTGAGATTTCTCCTTTCAATTTTAGTATGTCTATTGGTATTGACCTTGTTGAGGTCTTCTTTAGGCAGCCATATTGCTGAGGTATCCTGGATGAAATTTCCCTGTTATTTCTGGGAGACAATTTAACAGCCAATTTCCTGGTCCTTTTGCTCTTACAATCTTTCTTCATCCTCTTCTGTGATGTCTTATCCTTACATGCAGGAGTTGAATTGTAGATGTATCCATAATAATTGGACACCCTATGCTCAGTTGTTCCATGCATTTTGACTAGTTGTGGTTTTCTGTGATGCTCTCTATCTGTAGCAAAGAGAAGTTTCTTTGATGAATATTATTTTGTATTTTATACATCCTTGCATTGCTTTACTTGAAGGAAAGTTTCCATGGTTAGGTAGATTAAAAATTATTTCTACTATAAATGGGACAATGAAGCATAGAACAGCTGTCACTTTTTCAATTAGAAAGAATCTATAGCAACTACCAGCTCTGCTTCACTCTTATAAACCATTTATTGAGAGGCTACAAGAGGATCCAAAATTGATCTTCAAACATGAAAGTGTTGTCACCCCATAACATGAACTATTATATTAAGTATCGCTTTTGTGTGTTTTCTTACTGAAAACTACATTTGGTAATATTGCATAAATGGTTTAAATACAGAGTTTTTCAGAAACAGTATTTTAACCCAAATTCACTCCTAGGAAGGTACCTCCCATAGATTCATAATGAATTGGTTAATGGGGTGCTCTAAATAAACTTCTTTTTCAGGAGGGCAGCTGTGTCTTTCTTTGTAGCCCAAATTCACAATCCTTTTGCCTCAATGACCATGTGCTAGGATTTCAGGTGTGTGGCATAACACGTGGTTCTAACTGAACTTTTAATTAATTAATCTTCTCTTAAATACTTGATGAGTCTTGTTGCAGACAGTTTTTGGCAGGTCCTGCTACCCTTGAGCCCCCAAATGAACACACAGAGACTTATATTAATTATAAAACTGTTGGCCTGTGACTAGGGCTTTTTTATTGGCTAGCTTTGTCTTAATTACTACTAACCCATTTCTATCAATCTATGTAGTTCCACATGGTCTTATCTTACTGGAGAAGGGTCCGGATCTCTAACTCCTTTGGTGGCTCACATGGCGACTGTCCTGATGGGTTCTCCTGCCTACCTTTTCCAGAATTCTCCTTGTCCTAGTCCTGCCTATCTTCCTGCCTTATTGGCCAACAGTGTTTTATTCATCAACCAATAAGAAAGACATATACAGAAGAACATCCCCCATCAGAGTTTCTCAAATGTAGTGGAAGAAGTAGTCTATTGATCCAATATAGATCATGTTCTTTGAGTCTGTTCACATTGTTTTGCTCTTATTTCAAGTCTTTATGTTTGTCATTCTATCTATATACTGATAAATGTGAAATACTATTATTATTTTATTCAGTTTTGATTCTTTGTGGTGCTGGATCTAACTGAGAGTCTCATGGGTCATAAGTGGGCACTCTATCAATGAGATACATCCCTAGTGTATAGCATTATTTTATGTCCTCCTAAGACATAAAGGAATTATGACAATTAAAATTATAAGAGGTGACCTGGAGAGGCAATGCCTTTCTGAAATTCCAGTTGTTGGGAAAGCTGATGTGGGAAGGATCACTTGAGTGTAGGAGTTTGAGGGCAGCCTGGGCAACATAGTAAGAGATTCATGAAATTCATGAGATTCATGAAATTTTTCTCCATATTTGCCAGAACATAAGCTCTATCTTTCCCTTGATCATATGTGTCTCTCTTATGATATATGCTGATGAAAATACTTCTTGGAATCAAAATTATGTATCTTTCTTTCTATTTGCAACCAACATTTTGAAACTTGTTTCCTTTCTGTGGGATCAGCATTATTCTACTACAAAGGAGTTTTCAAGCCTGCTTTCTTTGGAGGCATAACGTAGACCTGCCATGTCATGTGAATAATGATGTTGGCTATTTCCTGTGTTATGGGTTAATCATTACCCTGTCAACAGAGCGTATACCAGGTAACTCCAAATGGACTTCTTAAGTTCAATGGTGTGGTACCCAAATCATCAACTCTGTGTCACAAGTTAACAAATCATTTTGTTCCTTTTGCTTAGGCATCATTTTCACTCATATCAAAATGAAATTTTACCTTTTAAAGCCCATGTATCGAATTACTTATAAGGCAACATTTTATCTTCAGTGGAAAAAGATGCATTCTAGTTTTTAAAACCAGAGTTTATTTGAGTGATACTGCTGTTTGAAGACATTTTTGGTATGTATTAAACATTTTCACATTTTGATATCTGTAGAAATATGGGTGAAATTTAAATTTACAAATTATCTTCTCAAGTTCAAATTACTGTGTCAACATATTCTTCCATATTTTAGTGTTTGAAGTATTTCGTGTTTACAAGAATGTATTTTATTCTTGGTACTGAAGGAGATTAGTATGTCATCTTAATAAAGGACAATAATTGAATTTTATTTTAAAAAGGAACTTGATTTTTATAGCACTGTCCCTTTACTGTCCCATACATGTTAGTGTTGGGGAGAAGATAGAAGAAGAATGTCAAGTCAGAAACCGGAGGTGATAGTAGAGCCATGCCAGGATGCTACAGGAAGGTGTTGACAATTTAGGAAGTGTGAAAGCACCCTCAACTTTGTGCATATAAAGGAAACTGATGGAGAACTAAATGTAATATAACTTCTGTGGATACTTTTTCTTCCTTTCCTATCACTATGTGTCCCTTCCTCATCACCAAAAGGGGAAAATAAAATGCATCACAGGAGGGCAACAGCCAGAACAAACTGTCTTCAAAAATTCTTCCATCCAATCAGGAATTATAAAATCATTGCACGGACCTAAGGATGAATGCCAGGAATGTGTGAAAGTGGAAGTGAAATTTTCCTTTGCATATTTTTGTGCTGTTGTTATAGCAATTTTCTTTGGATCAAAAGCTTTGAAGATGTGCGTTTTTCCTTCACGATGATTGCTGCCTTAGAATGTCAGTGCAATTTCTTACTATTCTTAAGCTAAATTTACTCCGTTTTCTCTTTTAGGCAAATATCAATATTCCGATGGGAGCCTTTCGGCCAGGAGCTGTGCAGCCTCCTCCAAGCACAGAGTGCACTCCTGCCACTACCGTGACCCAGGAGGTGAGGAAGATAGCTAACAGAGATAAGCAAGGCCTGTTTCCTCCAGAGTCTTCCCAAGAGGCAAGGTTTCTCAGCAGGGAAATTCTGTGCCATGCATTTCAGCTAGGGCTAAGTGTCTGACAAAGTTGCTTGAAGATCCAAGCTTAACTTCCACTTGTCAACTGATTTTGTGCACAGGTGATTTGGGGCTAGCTCTGGTCACTTGTTTGGTAAGTTTTACAAAGGGTCTGATTAAACTGAGAAGGCTGTGTGTGGTATGGCTTCTGATGGGAGATTAACCTCAATTAGAGCTCAGTAAGTAAGGGCATTGAATTCCTTTCAGATTCAAACAATCATCTTGATCTTCCTTTGAAAGCAAGTCTTTCCAAAGGCATCTATCTGGTCTCCCTCCCTGTATATTCCTATTCTTTCCTCCCTGCCCAATTCAAATATCTTGCTAAAATAGAGACAAAATGAATAAATGCAACAAGAAGAAACAAGTTCCCTTCCCAGGTCTATGCATTTACTTTTGTGTGACATCTCTGCTCAAATGTGAAAAGGCTGACTCTGAGGGAAGTGGGATTAAGGTTTTTAGATCTTTTCATTAACACAAAAATCAGGGCGTTTTAAAAGCTAAGGATTTTAATGGCTTTTATATTTGGCCCATTACTTCAAACTTTCCTAAAATGACCTTAGTCCTGGACGTAACCTTTTCATCTATGCAATTTCCTGATTGTGATCTTAGCTCCTTGGCTTTAGCCTCCAACCAAGACATTTTTTTTCAGAGGAGGTTGTGAAGTATTTGAATAGCATCACCAAATTTTGGGATTTCAGCTACTAATTCTTGTGTCTGGGACTTGGGTTGAGTATATGAGCTTGTGTTAGCCAAGAAGGATCTCCTCCATCTCTCAGAGGGATGCTGTCAGGAAGGAATAAATGGAATAAGGGATGTGGTATAGTCTGGCAGGTATCTGGTAAATAAGCAATTCTTCAGAAATTTCCCTGACTATCCAATTTACATGAAAGACTCCAGGCCTCTTGCTCTGCAGATTGTAAGAAAGAGGCACAAGGAGTTTAAGGGATGGTCATGGGACTCTACCCTCACCTCTCTTTATTTGCCATTGTATTTTTCGTTTCTCACCTTCCTCTGACGCTGTGTCTATCACTAACTATGACAATAGATAGTCAGAAGGTAGCTTGGTCCTCTTTTCTCATGAAATTGGCTGATATAACAGTGGTGTGGGTCTCTCCTCTTCTCTTCCCTCTGTGGAGCAGGCAGCCTTGGGTTCTTCCCTGTCCACATGAGTATCTTGCTTAGGAGGTTAGGGAAGCACTTTTCTTTCTCTCATTTCTTGTCCCTAGTCTGATGATTTGGACACACTGCATAAAACCACCAGGGACCTATATCACTTGGTTTGTGACAATATACTTTCTAACCACTCATGTATTCAAATGGCCAATTGATATTCCTCTTATGGTAGAGATAATGAGATAGCCATAGAGATCCCAAGACCCTAGAGATGTCCCTATGCATTGTGCCACTCCTTGTTCTTGGGGTTCATTGAGTAGAACAGAGAGCTAAGGCTGTTCATTATCTAAAACAAACAGATAGGGACTCTTAGGGTTTATGGGGTTTGAGGGAGGAAGTGACCTTGTAGCTCAAACTCTGGCTTGGTCCTCAGAATAAATTTCCCAGAGAAATGTTACAAGTTGGGTAGTTTGTCTTAGCTACAAGGTGCATTAAGTAGGATTTTGTGGGTTGGCTTGAGGCCCTAGCTACCTTCTGTGGTATAGTTTGAATGAGAAATTTGAATGTGAATTCAGAATAACTTCCATAGCCACATTTATTACTGTAATCTCCATTTGCAAACTAAGAATTGCTTACATTCATAGATTAAGGATGTGTTGTCAAGCCTCATGCTAACAGAATTATAGTATAATGTGTGATTTGTAGCACGCCACCTGTAACCAGAACAGCTCACCTCCAGCCTAGCCAGTTGGACCCCCAGGTAAATTCAGAAGGTATTTTGATCTTGACATCCTCTGAGAAGGGAACAAATGGATGTATCCCAGCAGAAGAAAGAGCCTGTCATTGGCTTTATGACAAGGTCTGGGACCACTAGCTGTCTCTTGTGCACCTGTAGTTTCTGACCAGCCCTTTGCTTTGCCCATGGACATGGAATGTACCTTCCATACTTGGCTTGTTAGACACAGGCATGTACCGGACACAGGGGTCTTCTTTCCAAATCCTTTTGTGTAAGAAAAGCAGCTGCTTGTTTCAAGTCATCTGAGAGTACTAATGAGCCATTTCTAAGCCTCCAAATCACTCTTTAACTGAAATACAATTATCCTTATTATGCTACATAATAGTACATTGGGACTTTCTCTTAAATATTTCCTTTCATCTTGCCCCTTCACAAGATGCAAACATATTATTTAATTCTAGTCCAGTCACTTCTTAGTTGTGAGGCCTTGGACAGTTTTTTTTTTATTTTTTAGCTTTCCCATACCTTAGTCTCACTGGTGAGGTAGGGATAAAAGCAGATGTATAAAGTTGGTGTGAGAATGAAATGACTTAGCACATGTATCTTAGAACAGTTAGTAGTGTTTGATGATACTAGTGAGTTTTTAGTTTTGAACAGGAATGAGTGGGTCAAACTCTATTGCTTCGTGTAAGAGCCTGGGGAAAAACTCAGGAGGGTATCTGGTAGTAAAGAAGGACTTGCAGATGGGGTATCTTGAAAATGCTTCACCATTCTGCAAAGATTGGAAAATCCTCTGTGACTCCCAAGGCAGGCATTTCCCTTCACAGAGCTGTCACTGAAGTGGGGAATGATGCTGGTAAAGTTTCCCTTACACTGTCTTCATGTACACGGAAGAATAAATAGCCTCTAGTTCCCTGCTGGGTTGAGATACCTGTGACAAGGGCTAGCCCCCACTTGTCAAGTAGAACCCTCTTTATTCATGCTTTAGTTTACTATAATTCTTATAATAGGAAATTCATAAAAGCAGAGGAATCTGATTTTCATTATGTTTTTAAAAGGTACTGGAACTTCAGTGTAAAAATGTGTCCTGCTTCCTGAACAATATCATACTCTCAAATTATTATATATAGTGACAATCTCCATTCTATAACACCTTAATAAATCAAATGCCAAGTCTTATCTTGATTAAAAATGAAAAAAACCCACCCCAGTCCAGTGAGGTCTTAATAATGTGATAGGAAGATGTCTAGCATTAAATGTTACCATTATTAATCTGTGTAAGTTCATCTTATAAATCTGCCCCAGACTCTTTTTTTTTTCTTTTTTGAGACAGGGTTTCTCTGTGTAGCTTTGAAGCCTATCCTGGCACTCGCTCTGGAGACCAGGCTGGCCTCAAACTCACAGAGATCTGCCTGCCTCTGCCTCCCAAGTGCTGGGATTAAAGGCGTGCACCACCAATGCCCGGCCTGCCCCAGACTCTTAAGTGTAGATATTGGCTGTATGTGTTAAATGTGCCAGCATGGAGATGACTCACCTGGGAACTTAGCAGAAGGATCTGGAAACATTTTTCTCTTCATGCTTCTTTATTAAGATCTACCCACCTCCAGCCGTGGGAGCATTTATAAGTGCTGAAATATTTTTCATTTCATTGCTACACATATTTAAGAAGAAGCAACACTTTATAGCCTTGTTAAAAATTCCTTCCTGAAAGCCCAGCAAAGAACATTCTGGAATACCTGTTTCTTCAAGTGGGTGTCTTATACTATTAATGACCTTTTCTGTATCTACACTTACAAATGATGAATGTGTTTGCATGGAGAAAAGAAGCCAGGCTTAGGGCTCTGTACATGGACCTACATGAACAATATCTTTCAGCTATTCGCAATAGATACATCATCATTGAGTTACTTTATCATTTAGTGTGAATGTGTATTAGCTATTTAATCAGTACTGTACCAGCTTCACAGAAAATAACTATAGGAAGTCCTATTAGCCCTTAAAAGAAGAATAAAATCTCAGTCTTTTATGCCTACTCATCCTCCCTAATAAACAATTTAAAAACATTTTCTATAAGGGACTCGGCTACCTAGTGATTTGTCAGAGTTCATCGAAGCTTGAACACATTCTTCCTCTAGGTGCTAACCAGTTTGAGAACGAGACACAGGCAGGCACTAGACCTGGACTCACAGCACTAGCTTTAGCACTGTCCTTCACAGGAGGCAAATGTGGAGTTTCTCATCCCTGACACACACGCACACACACACACACACACACACACACACACACACACTGGTTTACCCAATTCTTGGTTAAGCAGATGGAGCTATAACAGTTCTGCACTGGGGACTGTTAATTTAAGCCCTCTAAGAAACAGACATTTAAAGTGTAGAGTATTTATTGGGGGAAAGCACTTTTAAGGAAAGATGGGAGAGAGTTACAGGAGAGTTACTGAGACCCAGATACAGGGGAAGAAGAGGGAAGGGTTTGGTGGAAGAAACACAGACCTCAGCGTGGCTCTAAGCCCAACTCTCCAGCCTAAGTTTTTCCTGGGAGAAGTCCCTGTTTACCAGGTATGGGGTCACCTTGAGGATGCTGCTGTACTCAGTCCTTTACTATCATCACATATGGTAAACATGACCGCTGCATGGTGATGGATAGATTTTAGTGACAAGGCGTTAGGGCAGTCACTCAGTTACCCCTGAAGTAATCTGATCCAAGGATTGCTATCCTGGCTGTTTGGGTGATCAAATGTCCTCCAATATCTCAATTTATAGGCAAATAGGAGGAACAGACTAGCATGCAGTTTTCTTCTCTAGTAACTAGATGGAGCTGCATACAGCAACTGATCTTAATGTTTTATATTTCTTTTCTATATACATGCTTGGTGAACGCACATAGAGGTGTGGGTTGATTATGGGTTTAGCTAGTTAAATAAAAAAACCATCAAGTATACATTCCAGCCTCTGTCATCAGGTACTAGAGAAGCCACGCAAAAAGAAAAGGCTGTGTGTCCGCTCCCTAAAATCGAGATTCCTTCAACGACAGGAAATTTAAACTGCTCAAACAGCAGGCAAAGGCTGGCCTCTCTCATTCCTTCTCATATTCAAAGATGTTTTCCTATGTCCTTCTGAGTTTGTTTATATTTCCCAACAGAGCCTTAGGACAAAAGGCTGACATCCGCCATACTCTGAACAAATATTTGCAAACTCCTGGACTAATTGGGGCTAACTGTGCACTGATATTTTACCAATTTCTGTCATCAGGTATCTGAGAGTGGTATGATACTAAGTCAAATTCACTTTTAGAATATGCTTTTGTGAGAAACACAACTCCTAACTGTTGGCAGTACTTATTAGTTACCAGACACTGAACTGTTGCCTAATGTGTCCTAAGTCATATGGAAAGCACTTTTCCCCTTACAACATTATTTTATATTCCTGTACAAATTTCAGGGAATTTTGTTGAAATTCTAGGGCTATCTGAACAATAAATACAGGAGAAAATCACCATGCTAGATTTGTACCTTGACTTTCTTCCTTTGATATTTGTTTTCTTGCTCTATGCCATGAACCAAAGAGATGAAACACCCTTGTTTTTGGTGAGTTCCATTTCTTCCCCTTTCTTTTCAGGAGAACCCTACTACTTCGGAGGAAGAGAAGAAGCCAATTCACGGAGCAAAAAAACTCCCAGGACCTGTTGTCAACCTGTCCGAGATCCAAAATGTTAAAAGCGAACTGAAGTATGTCCCTAAAATGGGACAGGAGTTCAAACGGGAGTAAAGGTGAGTGGGAAAGAAGTCTCTTTGTCTGATAAAAGGCATCATCAAAAGGAAGCTTTCCACAGGAGGAGTTTACCAGGAAGGTTCAGTTTAGACAGCATTTGTTGTGTATGGTTTTCAGGGAAAGCCACATCTTTGGGTTTATCTTATTCCACAGCTCCTTGGAGAACTGGTGAGGGCAAGTCATGGTATGTGCATTTCTTTGTCCACCATATGCCATAAAGAACAGTGAACTATTGCTTTGGCAATAGGATCTGACAAACAAGTAGCTGTGTAGATTTGGAAGTGAGAGGAGGCAGTACTCCATGCATTCAGGCCTTAAAAAAATGAGGATACCAAAATAGGTGCTAGGCAGAAACAAGAAGCCTTGGGTCTGATGGGGAAAGAGTATGTGTGGGTGTATATGAAAAAGGGTAGGTTTGAAACTGTGCAGGTTGTTCCAACAAGGTACTTAAAATACTTATTTTCATTTTAATTGTTCAGTAATGATCCCCTGGTAAGAACTCAGCCAACTTTCTGTCTGCAGATCTGGTTCCTATTAACTGGAATAGAAATTCCACCAACAGACAGTGTGGGTTCACCAAATCATGGTTCTTTATCTTAGGAGATACTAGGAGCAACTCTATCCTTTACCAGCATCACCAAACTCCACCAAGCACAACCTTCTCTATCCCTTAAACAGAAGTCTAGAGGAAAATCTACACGGGAACATGCAATAGGCTTTTTATCTCATTGATTATCCATTCATTTGTCCCTCCATGCATTTAATCAATATTTATGGATGGTAGAAATATTCATCACTTGACACTATGTGAAGAGTGTTGTATCCACTTTTGTTTCAAGACAGGATCTTAATTTATAGCTGAAGCTGAGCTGGAACTCTCTGCAATGTAGGCCAGCCCCAAACTCATGGCAATCCCCCCACCTCAGCCTTTCTAGTACTGGGATTAGAGACATGGGCCAGTATGCTTGGCTCCAGTGTTTCTTATAAGCTTCATAATACTCAGTTACCACCTTTATTCTTGGGTTGAGTCTTAGGGAGACTGATTCTATCAGTTACCTGATTTTCACACTGCTTCAAGTCCCGCATCTCACCACGCCATACAAATTGATTGCACATACCCTCCTTGCACTGGGGTTGAATATTGCCTTTAGAGATAGCAATAACAGGATGTCTGTGAGACAGATCAGTGGGTTATCATGATGCCATTTATGTCGTACTTATCTCGACCTTCTAAAGATATTTTCAAAGTAGTTTGGTTGAAAAGATTTCCTAGAGGAAAAGAGGAGCTGGTTGGTCTCCCTCTGTCCCTGCCTTCCTCCCTCACTTCCTCCAATCCCCCTCCTCCATTTTTTTAGACAGATGCTGACTATATTGCCCAGACTGGCCTCAAACTTACTATCCTCATGCCTTATCCTATCAAGTGCTGGGATGGGAGGAATGTACCACTATGCTCATCTTAGAATCTGTTTTGAGTTAAAGTAAAATGACAACATGTAGCATTTTTAGCGCAATTACATACGTGAAGGAAGAAGTGAGAATGAATGAAACAAATTATATTCCGTGGTCACAGAATAAAACTCAGGGACCTGGATGGGGACAAAGCTACCTGAGTGGGAATTAATCTGGCAGAAAACTGCATGAACTTGTTATTTATAAACCAGAACAAACTCATGCCTGAGTATCAGGCTCAGTGCAGTTTGAGTTGCCAAAGTGATGTGAAATCTTTGAACATGTTTTTGAGAAAACTGTGGAATTTCTTGCTGAGAAAGACCAGAGAAGGGATATGAACTTTTTGTAGTATTTATTATCATTGCCCATCCAAAACTGTTTGGTTATACACATGAATTTGTGTGTGTGTGTGTGTGTTTGTTTGACACATACACACACACACACACACACACACACAGAGAGAGAGAGAGAGAGAGAGAGAGAGAGAGAGAGAGAGAGAGAGAGAGAGAGAGAGAGGGTGTATCAAGGAAGGATACCTTCCTCTATTGATCTTTACTTGTGAAGTTTTTAAACTTTCATTATTTATTACTGCTGTGTGTGTACATGTGAGCACCCACATGCATGCCTTGGTGTGTGTGTGTGTGTGTGTGTGTGTGTGTGTGTGTGTGTGTGTGTGTAGATTACAGAAGAACTTTATGGAATTGGTTCTCTCCACATTTACATAGGTTCCAGGCATCAAATTTGAGTTTGTGGCAAGTGACTTTACCCACTTATGTATCTTACAGACCAATCTGCCATTTTTCACACTAACTTTTTTTTTTACAATTTCATGTATGTACACTATGCATTTTTGTCCTTCTTCTCTCATCCTCTCCTTTTTCCTTGCCAGCCCAACCAGTCCTTTCTCTTCCCTACAAATCTCTTCCCCCTATTTCTTCATTTTGATTTTGTTTGGTGTCCCAGAGTTTAATCAGGACCTTCTTGTGATCCCTGATTGGAACTAACCATGACCTGGTGGGCTCCCATGGATGTATAACTTGGTACCATGTTTCCCCCTCTCCAAGACTCTGCCACTTCCCTGCTGATCAGCTATATGTGATAGGGACTACCATGTTCATTCCCCATCTACAGCTGACTGTTAACAGAGCCTGACTTCTGTGGACCTGGCACAGCTGATGTGAGTTCATGGTAGCCATTTCAGTGTCCTGCTTGAAAGCTGGTATTTCACAGTCCTCCCCATCCTCAAGCTCTTACATTCTTTCCACCCCATTTTCTGTAGTATTCACTGAGCCTTAAGGGGATAATGTAACCCTTAATGGGTTCTTAGAACTCAACTATTCTTTATTGTCAACATTTTGTGCAGTAACTCACTGTAAGAAGAATTCACTGTAAGCTTCCCTGTTTAAAGCTGAAAATAGCCTTTATTGGTGAGTGTAAGCATAGATATTTAGGAGGTGGTTTGTTGCTATGTCGATTCAGCTAAGCAGCCACCTTAGCTGCCACCACTGCCGCTGAAAGATATTAAGACCTCTTCTGTCATGTATTTTGGACCAGGTTTGCATTATTAAGCATGGATTTCTTCATAGAAAAAGCCTCAAATAGGAAGTGGTTGGTTACCCCCAGAACAATTGTGTCATCATTACATAAATGAGCATATTTTTGCCTGGTATTATAATTTGTAAAGTTCACAAATGGGTTAGATCTCTTATGTTTTTATTTTATAATATCCTGCATGGTGCCATCTGGTAACATAAGAACAGACCCATCAGGGAGGAAACTAGCTCATGCTTGATTTCTTTGTGTTGCACCTCACCTTTTTTAAAGTTGCAATTAACATAGTATCTACTTATTGTAGACTTTTACCAAGAACATTAAAGAACATTTACCAAGTGTGTTAAAGAAGGGTGGCTGGTAGGTAGGCATGTTTTGCTTAATAGCTAAATCTTGGGTAGTATCTACCTGTCATAAAAATTAAATAAACAAGATTCACCTTGATTTTTGAGGCAAGATCTCCTCACTGAATCTGAAACTCATCATTTTGATAGATTGGCCAGCCAGTGAGTTCATGGGATCCACTTGTCTCCACCAAACCCAGTACTGGGGTTATAGGCACATGCCTCCATGTCTGAATTTTCCATGGATAAACCTGTACTCAGGTTGGGAATCAGACCAGGCAATAGAAACACAGACATAACACATATCTTCTCTAAACCAAGAGACATGGGAGCATCTCTTCAAGGGTTCCCAAGCTAATGTGGGGCATAGGATGGGACAGGCAAAGTAGGGTCTTCAACCATCTTACTCTGAGGATTCTTTTGGATGAGACCGAAGGTAGCCAGTTGTTAACTTAAATCCCCCCCTTTTTTTCAAGACAGGGTTTCTTGGTGTTGCCTTGGCTGTCTCAGAACTCGTTCTGTAGACCGGGCTGACAGGGATCTGCCTGCCTCTGCCTCCCAAGTGCTGGGATTAAAGGAGTGCACCACCACCACCTAGCAGTTGTTAATTTAAGAAATTCCAAGAGCCAGATAAAGAGACAGGACTAGCAGAAAAGTGTGAAAATCATGTGTTTTCTGACCTTCTCATGACTATTTGTTGCTGCATTAGTGGGAATCCCACAGAACCTGAAGAATTACTTGGGTTTGGAGTCCAAATAGATTCTGTCCATTTCTCTCCTTCTTAACCCTCCTGTCATACTACAGGTTGTAGTAAAGAACTCATAACTAGCTTGTGAACTTGTACACTTTCTCCTCTCTGTACTAAGATGTACAGATAGAAACTTTGGCCCTTGCTGTCAGGATACCTGAGTCTTGGTAGAAAGATAGAGAATATCAGAGGCTAGATAAGTTATGAGTCAGTGGGTACATTTTGAAGATACCTGATGGCTGCTGTGACCCACTATGTAGACAAAAGACAGGCACAGTAGTATTACTTTGGAACAGGAGACAATCAGTGATAGGGACAATTTTAGGAGAGTGAGAAGGGATAGCCTCGAGACATATGGGATCTGCAGGACCTTGTTAATAAGCTAGCTTGTTAGGACAAACAGTTCCTTTAAGGCAGTACTGCAAAAACTTTTAGGGCAGAGCAAAATAAGACTCTACTTGTTTGTAATATCTATTTCCCCATGGTAAAAGAACTCATTGCTAACAAAACATTAGAGAGGAACAATGGAAGTATTAAGGTGGCAACACTGCAGCAATTACAAGAAAAGAAATGATTAACAGGGGTAAAACCTAAGAATTCTACAATTATGTAAACGAACAGCAAGATAGCAGCAATTGAAAACCCTGGGACTGATGAAGCTCTAGAGAGAAACCACTATTCTGAAGTCATAGGCATACTCAGTGGTGAACATGGCAGGCAGATCAAAGGCTTTGTGGCAGGCAGACTTCATACATAACTATACATACTAAACTAGGGACTCTGAGAACTGCAAAACATTTTTGTGGGTTGTCGTTTTTTGTTTTAAGACAAGGCTTTTCTGTGTAGCGATGGCTGTCCTGGAACTCACTCTGTAGATCAGGCTGGCCTTGAACTCATAGAGATCC